AAAGCGGGCCCGTCACGGTGGTGAGATCTAGAAGATCTAGCCAACTGGCGAGGGAAGCCCAGAAGACAACAAAAATAGATGGCGGAAATACGTCATCTATATTTGGGTCAATCACAGAGGTGTGCTAGGTGCTCTGCTCGCTACAGCGTCTTGTGATTTTTTTCGCCACCTCCTGCCCACCCAGCAGTAATGGGTACCTGAATTTGAGTTGAGGAAATAAAGGAGGCGTGGAAAGGAACTGGACATCCTACCACAATATGCCGAAGGCCAACGAAGTTGTCTCACTAACAAAGCAATCCCCAATGTCCAGATGGGATACGCGAACAACTTTTGGCTTGCTTGCTTGTTTGCTTGCTTGCTTGTTTGCTTGCTTGCTTGCTTGCTATCTTCCTATACCATCAGGTACAAAAGGCGCGAAAGCAGTCGACGCCACGCTTGTCTGTCCCTGGCCACGTCTTCCAACTTCGATACATCAAGGCCCTGGGTGATTCCCCGCTTTCTCTTTCCAGTCGATTTCCAATAGCACGTTTGATATGGCAATCTTGTCTCCGGCATTCTCAGAACAGATCCTAGATATCTCCATCTTCTCGTTTTTATGGTTGTGTTGATATCTTCAATTCCAGCTCTTTCCAACACTTCATTATTTTAAATAAATTCATTCCATTTTATTAGACATTTTGTTTGGAAGCTTTTTAATTTGGGTTGAATTATTTTGTTTGTTTTCCATTTCTCTGAACCATACGTCAATGCAGTCAAAATATTGCTATTATATATTTTAAATTTCGTCTTTAATGAAATTATATTTGACTTCCATAAAGTTTTTAATTTCACAAAAGCGATCCATTTATTTTTAAGTCAAGACAGTCTTCAGTTTTGGATATAATGCTGCCAAGGTACTTGAATTTACTAATTTTTGCAAGGGGTTCTCAATAAAGAGTGATGGGCGTAGTTTCTGATAATAGTCGTAGTACTTCTGTTTTGGATATATTTATTATAAGGCTAACTTTTCCCGCAATTTTTGCTAGTTCGTTTGCTTTTGATTGCCTTCCATGTACTGTGGTGTTTAATAGGCAGATGTCATCCGCAATATCTAGATCTTCTAAATATATGCCATTTGTTCATCCAATGCCTTTTTTAAAAGTATTACTCTGTCTTATTACAAAATCGATCGCAATTTCAAAAAGTACAGGTGATAATATACAGCCTTGTCTAACACCAGTGTTTACTTTATGAGGTGAAGATAGTTCTCCTTCAACTAGGACACAACAGCTTGCATTGGAATATAATGGCCTTACAGAGTTGTTGTTTTTTGTTGGGATGCAATAAATCGCAAGAATTTTCCCCGGAGCCTCTCGGTCTATGCTGTTAAAGGCTTTTTCAAAGTCCACTAAGTCCACAAAGCTCCAGATAATTGGGACATTCCATTCTTTGCTTTGTTCTACCATATTTCTCGGAATAAACTGTTGATATATACATTATCTCCCATGTCGAAAACTAGCATCTTCCTCTCTTAGCCTCTCATCTATTGCTGTTCTGATACGAGACAAGGTAAAAGCGCAGAATAACTTCCTAGCACTAATAAAAGCGTTATTCCTCTCCAATTGCTACAGTCTTTTAAGACCCATTCCATGGGTGTGTTTTTTTCCAACAATTTCGTTAAAAAGCAAAAGTAATATCTCATAACCTTCTTTTCCAATCGTTTTAAGCATCTCAGCGGTAACTCTGTCTTCTCCGGGACTTTTGTTACTTTTCATTTTGATGACTGTTGTTAAACTTTCTGGCATAGTTTTTTTGCCCGTACTTATGTTCAATTCCTTCATTGGTTCAACTTTGTCAAAGTTGAATTCATTTGGTGGGGGTGGTCTATTTGAAATCTCTTGAAAGTGTTTATGATTTATTATAATTAATTAATTGTCATCATCATCATTCTTCTTCTCCCTCCTGTTGTTGTTGTTGTTGTCCTTTTTGCTTCTGTTATTGTTGCTGCTGCTGTTGTTGTTGTTGTTCTTGCTCTTGTTGTTGTTGTTGCTGTTGTTGCTGTTGTTGCTGATAACTAATCAGCCTTTTAAGCAGTAGATTAATTGGTCAATCTCCCAGAGTCTTCCAATCAACTGATCAGTTAGTCAATGTACCAGATCTTTCAATCAATCGATTAAACGGCCAATCACCCAGAGTTTTTAAATCAATCGATTAATCGGTCA